AAAAATATAAATCAACAAAAAAGTAAACATCTGACAGAGCCTCAAACCATAAGATGAATACCCTTCAGGGCATCAATAAATAATTCTAAGCTCTATCCTCATAAAGGATAAGACCTACTACTAACCATAGTGTGAAGTGACACACAATACAAAATAAATAATTAAATAAAGTGACACAAAAGAAAATAAGGTAAACACCTGGTTGACCCCCTACCAGGGAGTATATAAAATACTTCAAATGAAGCACTAAACACGTGACAAATGTGATATTAATTCATACATAATAAGTGAAATGGCAACAAGTTCATATAAGAGGCATTCTGCAATGACGATAAATCCACAATATGTAATTCAGTGAATCTTCCCCTTTGGTGTGCTGTGCTATCCACCACCACCAGGGATCCCTGATGAATTCACATAATGTGTGACGCAACACGTCAAAAGGAAGTGTGGTGACATAATTTCCAGTACAGTGACAATCGCCACCATCTTTGTCCATGCTGTTTGAGGGTGACTATGCCTTTTACCATATGTGAGTGCACTCTTTGCATTATTTGATAATTTTTAATAAATGGAACCCTACTGCACTATTAGGAGCCCCTGTCTTTTATTGCATATCTGAATATTATACCCTATGGGTTCCAGTGATATGGAGTTTCCAGCGGCCAGGACACATGGAGGAATGAGGAAAGGGAGTTATGCCTAATCTAACCTGTTATGTGGATCAACTTGTGGAGGCGAGCGTGCACACTAAACGGGAAGATTCACTGAATTACACGTGGATGTACCATCATTGCGGTATTGTTGCCATTTCACTTCATTTATTTATGTATGATTTAATATCACATTTGTCACGTGTTTAGTGCTTAATTTGTAATGTTTTTATATACTCCCTGGTAGGGGGTCAGTCAAGTGTTTACCTTATTTTCTTTTGTGTCACTTTATTTAATTATTTATTTTGTATTGTGTGTCACTTCACACTATGGTTAGTAGTAGGTCTTATCCTTTATTAGGATAGAGCTTAGAATCATTTATTGATGCCCTGAAGGGTATTCTGTCAGATGTTGTTTACTTTTTTGCTGATTTATATTTCACTTACACAGTGAGTTAGGGGTTAGTTGTAGCGCAGCACTATTTTTTTTGTATTTTACAGTATTTGTAGCTGCTGACTTAAGCCTGGAACCTGGCTTTAACCACTTGCCTACCAGGCACTTATACCCCCTTCGTGCCCAGGCCAATTGTCAGCTTTCAGCACTGTTGCACTTTGAATGACAATTGCACCATCATGCAACATTGTACCCATATGAGATTTTTTATCATTTTTTTCACACAAATAGAGCTTTCTTTTGGTAATATTTAATCACCGCTGGGTGTCTTTATTTTTTGTGCTATAAACAAAAAAAAAAAAAAAAAAGCAAAAAATTTGAAAAAACATTTTTTTTGTTTCTATTATAAAATTTTGCGAACGGGTAATTTTTCTCCTTCACTGATGTGCGTTGATTGGGCAGCACGGATCGGCAGCACTGATGAGGTGGCAAGGAAAAACAGCACTAATTATGCTGCACTGATGGGCAGCACTGGTGGGTGGCACTGCTGGGCACTCATAAATTGCACTGCTAGGCAAAGGTGGGTGGCACTGATCATCAGGGCACTGATGATCGGTGCCGATCTGTCCTCTGCCAATTGCCGGTTCTTGGCAGTACTTTCCTCACGCTGCAAGTGCAGTAGATAACCGGCAACTGTATTTACCCGGTGATCTGCTTTGTCATTGGACACAGTTGATCACATGGTAAAAGGCTGCTGTGATTGGCCTTTTACCACATCACATGATCAGCTGTGTCCATAGGACACAGCTATCATGGAGATTGCCAGGTGACCGCTGCTGGGGGCAAGTGGGAGAGCGTGTTCTGGGAGGAAGTCATATGACGCCCTCCCAGAACTGGACAACCGCGCTGTAGCTGTCATTTAGCTATAGTGCGGTTGCCAAGTGGTTAATAACAGGTTATCGAAAGTACCATTGTGGCTGAGGAGACCAGTGCTGAAAAAAAGACTAGAAAAACTTAAATCACTTGGACCGTATAGCTAACATCTGAGAGTCCTCAAAGAACTTAGCAATGTTAAAGCCAGACCATTCATAATTTTTAAGGACTTCTTACGGACTGGAAGGGTACCAGCTAATTGGCCAAAAGCAATCGTGGTATCAATTCAAAAAAAAAAAAAAAAAAAAAAAAAAAAAGGGCTGAGATATATACCTGGGAAGGGTATATATTCAAGAATTTGCTGATGAAAATAGTATCACTAATAGTAACCAACATACATTTATGAAGGGCCGTTCTTTCCAAACCAACCTTTTAACATTTGTGAGGAGTTGAGCTCTAATTCTGATAGAGGAAGGCATGTGGATGCAGTGTATCTGGATTTTGTTAAAGCATTTGGATACAGTACCCCATAAACACTCAATTTACAAATTATGGTCTTTTGGCATTGATGATGTAGTATGTACCGGGATGAAAAACTGGTTGCAGGGGTGCATCCAGAAAGTAGTGAATAATGGCATATTTTCTGATGATCTGATGAGTTGTAAACGGGACACCCCAGGGCTCTGTCCTGGGATGTATTCTGTTTAGCCTGTTCATAAACAATATAAATATAGTTCAATCTCAGATGACGATACAAAGATAGGCAGGGCTATAGCTTCACAACAAGATAGCAACTTTACAAGAAGACCTATTAAAATAGAGAGGCGGGCAACTATATGGCAAATGAGGTTTAGTACTGAAACATGTAAAGTAATACACTTGGGAACTAAAAATATGAATGCAAGTTACTCACTAGGGAGAGAACCTCTGGGGGAATCAAAGATGGAAAAGGATCTGGGGGTCCTAGTAGATCCCAGACTTTACAATAGTGTGCAGTGTCAAGCTGCAGCAATCAAGGCCGGAAGACTATTAGCATGCACTAAAAAGGACATATACTCAAGAGATAAAACTCTAATTCTACCACTTTACAAAACCCTGGTTCAGCCACAACTTGAGCATGCTATCCAGTTTTGGTAACCAATCCTGAGGAAGAATGTCCCTGAACTGGAGAGAGTCCAGAGAAGGGCAACACCACTAATAAGGGGACTGGTGGAGGACCTCGATTATGAGGAACGACTTCAAACATTAAGCCTATTCTCCCTGGTAAAGAGGCGCTTAAGAGGGGACATGATAGAAATATACAAATCTTTGAATGGTAACTATCATTGGGAGTAAACTATTTAATCTTTAGTTTCTAAGGAAGACACATGGCCACACAATGAAAACAGACGAGGCAGTTAGTTAATAAACTGCGGACGGGGTTCTTTACTGTTAACACTTTCCCACCTGGCCTATAGCAGATTGACGGCTGGGCGGGACACTCGCCCTTGTGACTGGGTGTCATATAACGTCCTGTCAAAATGAGCTGCTCACGTGGCCGCGGGGGCGCAGTGGTGCGATCTGTCACCGGTTGTCTCCACGGGACACAGACGATGATATATCACTACACCAGGCCCGTTGCCAGTGTCATGTGACCGCTGTGACCAATCACAGCAGATCACATGTCAATTGTATACAATGGATGGCTTCCTGTCATGCCATCCATTGTATACAATTATGTTGTTAGCTGTGACTGGTCAAGGCAGTCACATGATACAGACAAGGACCAATCACAGCCCATCTGTATCATGTTATCAGCTTTGTCCAATCACAGCTAATCACAACAAAAGACTGAATGAATCAGTTTCATTCAGTAACAATGATTGCAAATATCAATGAAATACACTGGTATTGGCAAACATAATGTGTTAAAAAAAAATTCTGATCACTTGCCCAGAGTAGTTCAATGTTACTATGGTAAGATTGTATTGCTTTGGTCAGAGTGTGCTGAAAAAAAGTAGTAAAAAAAGAAAAAAATTTAATAAATAATAATAGAAACATTTGAAAAAAATTCAAATTCAATTATTATTATTTTCACCAAAGAAATGTTTCAGAATAATTTTGACCTAAATTTATGAAGAAATGTTATTTATTTGCAAAATTTTATAACAGAAATGAAGAAAAGTGTGGTTTTTTTTTTTTTAAACGTTTCAGGTGTTTTTTGTTTTATTTAGCAAAAATAAAAAACTCAATGGTTATTAAATACCACCAAAAGAAAGCTCTATTTGTGTGAAACAAATTATAAAAATTTCATATGGGTACAGTGTTGCATGACCACGCAATTGTCATTCAAAGTGAGACAGCGCTGAAAGCTGAAAATTGGCCTGGGCAGGAAGGGGATAAAAGTGCCCAGTATTGACGTGGTTAAAGCAGTAAGAATGTAGAACCCCTGCCCTTGGTGGTGTCAGCGGGGAATAGGTTTCATAGCAAACACAACGTACAGGGATATTGAAAGTTGTAGAGACAGACAGACAGACTGGTGTCTTCATTCAACCTTACCAACTTTGTCAAATTTTTAATTAGGCTGCTTTTATGGTACCGGAATTAAAAACACTCTTACTGTACTCACAACTATAGCAACAATCAGAAAATTAGTGGAAAAAACATGTTTCAAGTAAATAAAATTACACAAATTTCATTGTATTAAAAATTTATTCATCAAAACACTGTTGATTGATCCAATTAAGTGCACAATTATCTCATGCAGATGCCAAAAGAAACCTCCGCACAAATCAAAAAGTAACTTACTAAATTACATATACAGAATACAAGAATCATCATTCAAAAAAATTAATTCCCTTATGTTAGAAAAATAACAAAATTGAAATTGCTATGAGCTTGCAATTTCAAACATTCAAGGCACCTTTGTATCACAAGTCTTTATGTAACGATTGCATCATGGTTTGGAAGACTGGGAAGTTAACATTTCAGTACTATACCCTTGTTGACATAATTGTCATGTAGTCAGTCACAGCAGGCAGGAATTCTGTAAGCCAGTCTACGGCAGGCTCTGGAAGCACCAAATATTATAACGAAAACCATTTAATACCTAGAATTTGGTTGAGAGTGACACCAAGTTTCATTGGCCAGTTTCCAGTATCTGTCCCGCAAAATGAAAGCAGATGTTTTGGGCTGTCGTTGGCGAGTAAAGATGCCTTTTTTGTTGCCAATAACTCTTGTAATTCCTGAGGTGGGAAAATAAAATGAATCCATAGAGAATTATTATTATAATACAGGATTTATATAGCGCCAACAGTTTGCGCAATGCTTTAAGATATAAAGGAGACAGTACAATTACAATACATTTCAGTACAGAAGGAATATGAGGGCCCTGCTCGTGCAGTTTACAATCTAAAGGGAATGACAACAGATCACATTTTAACTGGCAACTTTCTAACACAACATACATTATAGACCTGCATCCTGTAAAAGTATAGTGTAGGTCAGGGGTAGGCAACCTTTTTGAGCATAATGTGCCGAAAATTTTTTTCAAACAAATTTAGAGTGCCAGCTATATAGAAAAAGGTCAACTTCACACACTCAATCACAGAGGATTTTTCATAAATGCTGTAAAGGACGTGAATAACAGTAAGAAATGAATATTGAGCTTTGCGCCTTCACACGTCAAATCAGCCCAATTCCTGCACTATAGACTTCATATCACCCATATCCTGCATCTCTCCATCTCAGATCAGCCCCAACTCCTGAACCTTCACATCTCAGATCACCCCAATTCCTGCACCTTTACACCTCAAACCAGCCCAATCCCTGTGCTATAGACCTCAGAACACCCCAATTCATGAACCTCCACAGCTCAGATCAGTCCAAATTCTTGCACCTTCACAACTCAGATCACTCCAATCCCTGCACCATCACACCTCAGATCCTCCAGTTCCTGCACATGCACACACCTCACATCACCCAAATTCCTGCACCGTCACATCCCAGACTAGCCACAATTCCTGCACCTTCACATCAACCCCAATTCCTGCATCTTCACACCTCAAATCAGTCCAAATTCCTTCACCATCAGAACTCAGATCAGCCCCTAATCCTGCACTTTCACACCTCAAACCAGCCCAATCCCTGCACTATAGACCTCAGAACACCCCAATTCCTGCACCTTCACACCTCAGATCAGCCCCAATTCTTGGACCTTCACATCTCAGATCAGCCCCAATTCCTGCACCATCACACCTCAGATCAGCCCCAGTTCCTGCACCTTCACACCTCAGATCAGCCCCAATTTTGGAACCCTCACACCTCACATTACTGCCATTCCTGCACCATCACACCATTTGATCAGCGCCAATTCCTGCACCATCACACCTTAGGTCAGCCCTAGTTCCTGCACCATCGCACCTTAGATCAGCCCCAGTTCCTGCATCATTGCACCTTAGATCAGCCCCAGTTCCTGCACCTGCACACCTCAGATCAGCCCCAGTTCCTGCACACCTCAGATCAGCCCCAGTGCCTGTACCTGCACACCTCAGATCAGCCCCAATTCCAGAACCTTCACACCTCAGATCACTCCAATTCCTGCACCATCACACCTTAGATCAGCCCCAATTATTGCACCTTCACACCTCAGATCACCAGAATTCCTGAACCTTTACACCTCAGATTAGCCGCAAACTCTGCACACCTCATATCAGTCCCAATTCCTGCATTATCATATGTCAGATCACCCCAAATACTGCACCTTTACATATGAGATCACCCCAATTCCTGCACCTTCACATATGAGATCACCAGAATTCATGCACCATCACACCTCAGATCAGTCCAATTCATGCACCACTTAATTAGTTGTTCCCAAAAGCTGGTTAATTACCAGTCCAATATGGGAGTAGGCAGGTTGAAGTGTCTGACTAAACACCAGGACCGGATCTAGCCTGCCTGATGTGGGGGTGCAGTAAAAAAAATGTCAAAATGTCAGGGGGACACAGGATGGGAGGTCAGCAAGGCAGTATACAGGGGTCAGCAAGACAGAAGACAGGGGCCAGCAAAGCAGAAGATAGGGGTCAGTAGGGCAGAGGACGGGGTCAGCAGTGCAGGGGACAGGAGTTAGTAGGGCAGTATACATGGGTCAGCAGGGTGGAAGACAGAGGTCAGCAGAGCAGAAAATGGGGTCAGCAGGGCAGAGGACTGGGGTCAGCAGGGCAGGGCTCAGCATGGCAGAGGACTGGGGTCAGAAAGGCATAGGACGAGCATCAGCAGGGCAGAGGACTGGGGTCAACAAGGCAGAGGACTGGGGTTAGATGGCATAGGGCAGGGCAGAGGATTGGGGTCAGCAGGGTAGAGTATGCACATCAGCAGAGCAGAGGACTAGGGTCAGCATGGCATAGGGCAGGGCTTAGTAGGGCAGAAGACAGGTGTCAGCAGGCCAGAGGACTGGGTCAGCACAGCATAGGCCAGAGGATTGGGGTCAGCAGGGCAGAGTACGCACATCAGCAGGGCTGAGGAAGGGCGTCAGCAGGGCAGAAGCTGGTGTCATAGCAGAGCACGGGCGTCAGCGGGGCAGAGGATGGTGTTACTGCTAACACGGCACTCAGCAAACCTGCAGGGGTAAGCAGAGCAGGGCTCAGCGGGGCAGAGGATGCATGTCAGCGGGGTAGAGGACGGGCGTCAAGAAGGCAGACAACAGGCATCAGCAGGGAAGGGGATGGTGTCACTGCTTACAGGTCACTCAGCTGAGCTGCTTCTCCCAACACTGCACACAGCTAGGATCTGATTTTTTTTTTTTTATAGACACAACCTGCACAGTGTGTAGTTGGCTGTTGCAGGCTGAGAAATTTACAGATCAGAACTGCAACCGCCAGCTGAATGCTGTGCTGATCGCGATTGTGTCTGACAAAGAAACAGATTAGCTGTGTGCTGTGTTGGGAGGGGCCGCTCACCTGCACGTCCTGTCAAACCTGAGTGCAGTCCGAGGATGGGAAGAGCTTACCGACCCAGGCACAGCATCCTTTCAAGGGAAAGGAGGCGGCGCACCACCCCCTAGACCCATCCACTGCTTCATTGTTGGCGGTATACAAAATGAGTAGTGAGGCAGGCGGGCAAAGAGGTGATTCCAGCCATGCTTCCTCCTGTGTAAGCAGCCGCAACTGCCGGCAGCCTTTGCTAATGCGTGAGAGGTGGAGGTAGGTGTCCCAGGATTCCCTCGCGTGCCAGCATACATAGGGATGCGTGCCATATCTGGCACGCATGCCGGGAGTTGCCAACCCCTGGTGTAGGTCATGTTCCTAATGAGGCATATTCCCTAACATAGGGCCTAGTCACTAAAACTGGCAATACACATGATATATTTTCTGATAAAATAGGGATGACAGTTGTAACTTTTTAAATTATAAAAATTTATCAATGACTGATAGTAATGGGATTACCTGGTCAGAATTATTCTCAAAGTGGATAGAAAATCATTGTCTGCTGTCATTTTCAGTATAAACAACTGAAACTATTTGTGAACTAGGAATGATGCAGGACAAGTCTATATGGACAGGGTCAAGCATCTAGCTACCAAAAGGTACCTGCTCATCTCTATCTTCCCCTACAATTACCTAGTTCTTCTGGGTATGGAACACAAATGTATAGTAGTGCTCAGCGTCTGACCTACTTCCAGAACAAGAAGCTGTTATGCGGGAGAGTGGGCAGCTTAGGTATAGTCAGGTCCATAAATATTGGGACATCGACACAATTCTAACATTTTTGGCTCTATACACCACCACAATGGATTTGAAATGAAACAAACAAGATGTGCTTTAACTGCAGACTGTCAGCTTTAATTTGAGGGTATTTACATCCAAATCGGTTGAACGGTGTAGGAATTACAACAGTTTGCATATGTGCCTCCCACTTGTTAAGGGACCAAAAGTAATGGGACAATTGGCTTCTTAGCTGTTCCATGGCCAGGTGTGTGTTATTCCTTCATTATCCCAATTACAATGAGCAGATAAAAGGTTCAGAGTTCATTTCAAGTGTGCTATTTGCATTTGGAATCTGTTGCTGTCAACTCTCAAGATGAGATCCAAAGAGCTGTCATTATCAGTGAAGCAAGCCATCATTAGGCTGAAAAAACAAAACAAACCCATCAGAGAGATAGCAAAAACATTAGGCGTGGCCAAAACAACTGTTTGGAACATTCTTAAAAAGAAGGAACGCACCGGTGAGCTCAGCAACACCAAAAGACCCGGAAGACCACGGAAAACAACTGTGGTGGATGACCGAAGAATTCTTTCCCTGGTGAAGAAAACACCCTTCACAACAGTTGGCCAGATCAAGAACACTCTCCAGGAGGTAGGTGTATGTGTGTCAAAGTCAACAAGCAAGAGAAGACTTCACCAGAGTGAATACAGAGGGTTCACCACAAGATGTAAACCATTGGTGAGCCTCAAAAACAGGAAGGCCAGATTAGAGTTTGCCAATCAACATCTAAAAAAGCCTTCACAGTTCTGGAACAACATCCTATGGACAGGTGAGACCAAGATCAACTTGTACCAGAGTGATGGGAAGAGAAGAGTATGGAGAAGGAAAGGAACTGCTCATGATCCTAAGCATACCACCTCATCAGTAAAGCATGGTGGTGGTAGTGTCATGGCGTGGGCATGTATGGCTGCCAATGGCACTGGTTCTCTTGTATTTATTGATGATGTGACTGCTGACAAAAGCAGCAGGATGAATTCTGAAGTGTTTTGGGCAATATTATCTGCTCATATTCAGCCAAATGCTTCAGAACTCAGTGGACGCCACTTCACAGTGCAGATGGACAATGACCCAAAGCATACTGCAAAAGCAACCAAAGAGTTTTTTAAGGGAAAGAAGTGGAATGTTATACAATGGCCAAGTCAATCACCTGACCTGAATCCGATTGAGCATGCATTTCACTTGCTGAAGACAAAACTGAAGGGAAAATGCCCCAAGAACAAGCAGGAACTGAAGACAGTTGCAGTAGAGGCCTGGCAGAGCATCACCAGGGATGAAACCCAGCGTCTGGTGATGTCTATGCGTTCCAGACTTCAGGCTGTAATTGACTGCAAAGAATTTGCAACCAAGTATTAAAAAGTGAAAGTTTGATTTATGATTATTATTCTGTCCTATTACTTTTGGTACCTTAACAAGTGGGAGGCACATATGCAAACTGTTGTAATTCCTACACCGTTCACCTGATTTGGATGTAAATACCCTCAAATTAAAGCTGACAGTCTGCAGTTAAAGCACATTTTGTTCGTTTCATTTCAAATCCATTGTGGTGGTGTATAGAGCCAAAAATGTTAGAATTGTGTCGATGTCCCAATATTTATGGACCTGACTGTATGTGTTCTTTTAAAGCAGAAACTTGCATAGAAATTCGAGGGCAGCCATAGCACATCTAAGCAGTGGCGGAGCAAGAAAAAGGTAGGTGCACCTTCACAGCAGCAGATTTGATTTTTTTTTTTTTTACAATTACAAAGTTCTTTTAATCTTAAATTTTTATTGCTGCCTGTGCCCCCTTTAGGGATATTCTCGTTCTTGATTTGTCCTGTTTACCTTTATTATTGAAAGTAAAAGAAAATCCCAAATTTTGGGTTGACGTCAGAGCAGTAATAAAAAGGTGAAATCTTCCAATGCGGACACCTTAGAAATTCTTTCCTTTGGAGGGATTTCCTTTTGCTTTCTGTTTTGGCTATGGGACTGGAAGTGAAGGGAAATCTCGGCCTTGGAAGTTTCAATCTGACTGGCTATGCAGCTAGAAAGGAGAAGTTGCTTCAATAAGCAAACAAACTCAGTCCACAAGTGATCAACTCTGTAAAATCTAGTTGCAGTGGATTACAAAGGAGTAAAAACAAAAAAAGTAAAAGTCCTAACTTTACTGCAGTTGCAGTGTTCACTGAATAGCATCAACTACACACAGCCACAGCACTGTTGCTAGATTATTTTGCACCCTAGGCAAGACCAGCTACTTGCACCCAAAAAAAAAAAAAAAAAAAAAAAAAAAAAAAAAATTTCACCTGTAGTTCTACTTCACCCCTCCCAGCACACATCCTCTTTCCCCTCACATTTTCCACCCTAGTACAAACCATCTCCCCCCAATCCAGCTTCCTAGCACAAGTCCTTCTTTCCCACCCAAATTCCCCCCAATCCCTGCTCCTAGCACAAATCCCCCTAATCCTACTCCCACCCCCCCCGAACATGCCGATGTAAGAGCGATCCTGTGTCATCTGTTTTATGGAGGATTGCTCCGCTGACAGGAGGGGAGAGAAGAGCCCGCACCTCCCAGTTCTATCCTGTCATTTCTCCTTTGCAGGCTTCATTGCTCCAGGCTGCTCTCCCCTTGTCCCAGCTGTGAGTGCCAGGATGGGGGAAGGCACTCAGCAACCAGGCACAGCATCCATGGAAAAAACAGCCATGGTGAAGAGTAGGGAAACCAGAGGCCATGTCTGAACCCTAGGTGGCAGTGCGCCCTAGGTGGCTGCCTAGTTTGCCTGGTGGTAGCACCAGCCCTGACTATACAGTGCATGTGCATTTTTGTAAGATTTAGGATCCTCAGCTTTCCCAGGATTTTGCTGGGAGTGATATCAACAGCATCTTTGTGTGCGGTCTGGAAATCAGGGTTTAAAATAAACATCTTATTTTTTTGTTTGAGGTTTTACATATTGTTTTTTTAAATAGGGGGATCTATTAAATTGTAGTCCCTTGCAGCTTCCTGCAAAGTGGGGGGAAAAAAAAAAAGGATATCTTCTGCTGTCTGTGTGAACCTATTGACTCCAGAATTCCACATTAAATCTTGTTCGCCTTGGCTATTAAAAATATGCTCTGGAGTGCAAACTATGGCTGTTAAGAGATGATTTATAAATGGAGAGCATGTACTGATATCCTCAGGACACTGTACCGATTACCTATAACGAGAAAGGCATAAACTACAAATGCAATGTGGAGTAAAGCCTGGGGAGTCCTTTGAAGTTTTCCCTGCATAATGCTTGCAGGGAAAGGTGTTTGATACAAAGAGAGGCCTCTTAATGTTGTGCATTATAAATGTGCTGGAGTTTTTTTTTTTTAAGCAGACATATGGCCTTTGTTATAATGGCCATAAAATGTATTTATAAATTGGTTCACAAGAATGGGATTCTAAGGAATACTCCTACCCAGAGAAGATGCTCTAGAAGAAACAACCACTTTATCTTACCCTGTGAAGTCATGAAGTCTGCAAAGTTCCAGATGAGTTCTCCAATAACAAACATTTTCCTCTTCTGGTCAAAAACAGAGTGGTAGTTCCTTAGGACAGCTTCTTGGTATTCCTCTGTAAACATTAATGGAGGATCCTGCAAAAAAAAAAAAAAAAAAAAGGATTTAGAACATTTTGAAGGGTTTGTGCCTTGAACTCTGCAACTACTGCCAGAATACAGTATGCTGCTCAGCACTGGCCTGTAACACTACACTCAATAAAAAGCACACAGGGCCTTATTTGCCAAAAGGACTACAGAAACTGGAAGTCAGATTATCTCTTTTCTTCTTCCAGATCAAGACCAGTTCTTGATGAAATAACTACTAGTAAAAGAAAAATCCACAGCAATGGACAGCTTGGATTTGCGATTACACAAAATACAAATATACTAGCAGAATCTGGAAGTGACAAATTGGGTGAGCAGACCAAAATTCTGTTAATATATCTTCAAGAAAAACCTGGAGTAATTTCTTAAACCAGGGGTGCTTAATCTGTGGCCCTCAACCTCAAACCATGGAAGCACACTTCTATGATATCCTGGGGGTTTGGTGCACTTTCAAAAACTGCACCACACTTGCAAGATATAAACAGAAGTCTATGGCAAAGCGCAGCTAATCTGCAGAAAAATTTAAAATTCTGAACCACTTCATTTCATTGTGGCTAACGACTGGTTACCAAATCACTTAAGTGACCCTCGCTCTTTAAAAGGTTGAGACCCCCTGGGCTTAAAACAGTAGACGATTACTGCAATGCACAACAGAATGACAAAGCCCCTAAGATATACTGTGGGAAAATAATAAATTGAGGATTATGTCACCAGCGATCCTGTTGCTGAGAACTTGGCAGATGACAGGATCAATATACAGGATACAGGGGTAAACAGGGCAGGAGAAATACCTTTCACTCCCTCGCCGACTGCATAAGGGCAACATGGTGACAACGAGGGACACATGGTACCTGATAAGCATTTTCCATGCAGCTTCTAGCTATTAGGATGCTGGCAAATTGTCAGCAACAGCATTGCATGACATGGCTATAATGTAACATATATGATTAAATGAATCCGAGCATGGAATAAACAACCTCCAGAGCTGCTAATACTGTACCCAGTACTAATTAATGTGTTCAAATGTGTAGTGCTAATGCAGGCAAATAAACAGTGCAAAAAATTGTGATACACTCTAGTTATAATTTGCAACATAAACATAATTATAATATTCTCACAGTCTCATGATATTATGAAAAAAAGGATGCTCTGTATACCCAATAAGAATCCTGTTGCATACAAACATTAGTGCCGGCCAGTAACTAAGATGGCATCTGTGCGTCCTAAGCTCTACCCTACACGTTTCATCATACATGACCTCATCAGGGGCAAAAATATGATGAAACATATAGAGATAATAATACATGTGAGTGTTTTTAATCCTTTTTTAAATAAAATTGGCTATAATTAACTACACTATTGGAGGCATTTGTTTCTGTGTTTTATGTCCATACACGTTTGGAGGGCTGGGTTGATTGTTTTGTTTACCTGTGTAGATGCCTTCCTTATCATTAAGTGCAACTGATCACTCATAGCCTGTGGGTCAACATACTCTGGTAAGCTGCAGTGTTGTAATGTGGGTGTACAGAACTGGATGCCATTTTCCTGGTTGAAATCAAACTTTCTTCTATCATTCCTCATGAATACCATCTGAAAAGCTTTTTTACTCGTGAAATCTGATAACACCTTTTGCTGGATTCTTCTATAAATATGACCGTTTGCACTTATTTGGACTATAATATTTAACCTCCTACTGTCTGGGTGGTTGGTACACGTATGTTTTTTGCATTATATATTTGTATCCCCTGCAGAGTTTTTAAATTTGCCCACTTACAAAAAAAACTAAGTCTATAGTTTTTATCATAGGTGTATTTTAAATTATAGAGACAGAATATCAACCAAAAATCTGAAGAAAAAAACACGATACAAATGTTATAAATGGAGTAGCAGTTCAGAGAGTAAAAGAAGTATTTGATCCCCTACCAACCAACAATAATACTGGCTCCTACAGACTGGCTATGTGCTCATGTGGTACACAGATTAGTCCTGTCAGTTTAAGAAGTTGCTCCTAACGACAACTCGTTGTGTTTAAAGGACACCTGTCCACAGTATCTTTTTCTTCCATTCAAACCTCACCACCATTGGCAAGACCAAAGAGCTATCAAAGGACATCAGGGACAAGACTGTAGACCTGAAAAAGGCTGGAATGGGCTACAAGACCATCAGCAAGAAGCTTGGTGAGAAGGAGACAACTGTTGAGGCAATTATTCGCAAATGGAAGAAATACAAAATAACCACCAATCGCCCTTGGTCTTGAGCTCCATGCAAGATGTCTCCTCATGGGGTAAGTATGATCATGAGAAAAGTGAGGGATCAGCCCAGAACTACACAGAAGGAGCTTGTGAATGATCTCAAGGCAATTGGGACCACAGGCACCAAACAAACCATTGGTAAAACAAATATGCCTCCATGGATTGAAATCCTGCAGCGCTCGCAAGGTTCCCCTCCTCAAGAAGTCCCATCTGAAGATTGCCAATGAACATCTAAATGATTGGGAGAAACTGCTGTAGTCAGACAAGACCAAAATTGAGCCCTTTGGCATTGACTAAACTTGCTGTGTTTGGAAGAAGAAAAATGCTGACTATAATCCCAAGAACACCATCCCTACAGTCAAGCACAGAGGTGGAAACATTATGCTTTGGGGTTGTTTCTCAGTTAAAAGGTACAGGCTGACTTTTTTGCACTGGGAGGCTAATAGACGGGGCCATGTATTGTAAAATCTTCGATGAGAACCTTCCTTCTTCCCAGAACACTGAAGATGGGTCATGGATGGGTCTTCCAGCATGACAATGACCTACAGCATAGCGCCAAGGCAACAAAGGAATGGCTCAAAAAGAAGCACAATAAGGTCATGGAGTGGCCTAGCCAGTCTCTATACCTTAATCCTATAGAAAATTTATGGAGGGAGTGGAAACTTTGAGTAAAGAATGGACCAAAATCCCTCCTGAGATGTGTGCAAACCTAGTAATCAACTACAAGAAATGTCTTACCTCTGTGCTTGCCAACAAGGGTTTCTCCACCAAGTACTAAGTTGTGTTTTGCTTGGGGATCAAATACTTATTTTACTCACTGAACTACAACTCAATTTATAACATTTGTATCATGTGTTTTTTTTTCTGGATTTTTAGTTGATATTCTGTCTCTAACACTTAAAATACACCTATTAGAAACAATTTAGACCCTTTATATATCTTTGTAAGTGGGCAAACTTACAAAATCTGCAGGGGATCAAATATATATTTTCCCCGCTGTATGTTGCAGATTATTACTAGATTAAGTGTATCACAATTTTTCGCTGTATAACGGAACATAAAACGGCGACAGATAAAATTAGTAACATTGTATATTTCTGGAAGATATACAGTATATTAACTCTTAATATCATACATTTTAATTTACCCTGCAAGCTGTACTTACACTGTGGAAGCCAGGAATGGTGTCTGCTCCATATTCAGACTGTATTATTGGCTTTTGATACTTTTCATGCCACTTGTCAAACTGCGTATTCAGCTGGACCTGAATCACCTCAAGATGGCCTGGGTCATGGTACCATGAGAAGTAGCTATTGACGCAGATCACATCCACATATGGGGCCTGTGAATTATATCCAGCATTCTATTATTTTTTTCTGATATCAAACTATATATTGCAGTTCTTCTGAGGATTCTGGTTTTCTGGCCCTTCTACAACATATAGCACTAATCTGATTACAACACACTAAGAAAAAAAAGACATAATTTATTTGCTGTTCCCGGCTATACTTGGTATATATACATGACTCATTATGGGATCTAATCAGAACAATTCAGTTACAAAAAGAGCGAATCAAATATATACAGTAACTATACAAACATATATACTGTAAATACTGTGTTCTATTTGTAAAGAAAACCTTTGCTACCTACTTGACATTTATTGTGATATTTTTCATCAATATAGTTTATAGTGATATTAAACCCTACTTCTTCATCTGTTAATCCTTGCCTATGTTCCTGTTTAAGCTGGTGCTTCTCTTGCAGTTTTCAATAGAGCCACCCTTGCATGCAGAACTAGAGCTCGGTTTTCCTACTGTGTGCATTAATAGCAGCACACATCCCTGTAGCATAGGATGGCAATCACTCCCCTGCTCATCCCTTCTCCAAACTAACAGCCTGACTCAGGACTGCAACGTCCTAGTCTTCTCTGTAAAGACTGGAAGTTCAGGGATGCTGCACTGAGTGAGCAGGAGCCAGCAGTGCTGAAAGTTTTATCCACTTCAGCATACGCAATGAACCAGGTACATAGTGGGGTTGAAGTGGGTATACCGAGATGATACCTACACCCACAGGCATCATCCCAGTAGCGTTTTTTTCAGCTGGTGATGCTATTTTAAATTAAAGCAATCCTAGCAGCTAAATAGCCACTAGATTGCCTTTACAAGTGGTAGGAGGGGTAAACCACCCCCTGCCACTCTCCAGTGTGCTTCTGCCAGTGTGCTTCTTACCATGGAGCTGAATGGGGACCAAAACTTCCCAGGTTTCTATGGTATAAGAAACCGGAACTAACGAGTATTTTATCACTTCCGGTTTCTCCAGAATGTAAACTGGCCATTTTTGGCTTGGGAAAGCATCTGGTCAAATTAATCTTGGTTTTAACCGATGATTTTAAGGGCAGAGGAGAGATCTGGGGTCTAATAGACCCTAGATCTCTTAGTAAAGAGTACCTGTCACTGTCCATTTTATCACAAGGGATATTGCTTATCCCTTATGATAGCAGTAAAAGTGATTTAAAAAACATTAAAGATACAGTGGAAAAATTAAAAAACGTTACTAAATAGGAAAACATTTTTTAAAGCTCCCCAGTCCCCCCATACTCGTGTGTAAAAGCGAACACGTAGGTTGCATATGCATATAAAACGGTGTTCGCACCACACGTGATGCAAACGTTATAGCAAGGGCAATAATTTTAGCACCAGACCTCCTGTGTAAATCTAAACTAGTAACCTGTAAAAGCTTTTTTAAAGAATCACCTATGTAGATTTTTAGTACCATATTGTCGCCATTCCACAAGTGTGCGCAATTTTAAATCTTGACATGTTAGTTATCTATTTACTCAGCGTATCATCATCATTAAAGTGTATTTTTTTCCATAAAAATGCATTTTAAAAACAGCTGCGCAAACACTTTGTGACATTAAAAATTGCTTTGGCACCTGAACAGTGGTTTAAAGCAGGACAAAGCTGGATTCGCTGGGTAGGTGAGTATTTGAATTAAAGTAAATCCTCAGATATACCCAGTGAAGTGACTGGCCTCAGATGATACACAGAGATGAAACAAATTCTCCTTTACAAGTAGTACTTGTTTATCTAGGGTCTTCTCTACATCTGTTTAAAGTTCAGAATTTATCAAGCTTGTCTGAGAGTTCAGAAATAAAAGGGGAGGAGGGCTGAAGTTACACTCTGCAGAGCTCAGTCTCAGCTCTGTTCCTGTGAGCTGTGTGGAGGAGGGTATGTCCCTCTCCTGCAATCAGCTCTCAGAGCTCTGAAAGCTGATTGGAGGGAAGGAACATACCCTCCTCCACACAGCTCACAAGAACAGAGCTGAGACTGTCAATCTTCAAGAGGTCCCTCCTCCATCACCAATTTTCTCCTGGTGTCAGGAAAACTTGTCAGAAGTGATTCATTCTGATAGCAGAGGAAAGAAACAGCAGACAGAAATGAACAAGGTGCTCTTAATTTAGACAAGTAAACATTATAGAGGGATATGCTTTGTTCATATTTCATGTCTGAGGTTTATAACCACTTTAAGGACAACCCTGGAAATCAGGTAAGTGGACAGGAATAAAAGAAAGCAGGGTGGGGGTGAAGGATATCATTGCAGCTTACCAGTCCTTGAATATGGTGGCTGACTTTTTTTCTGGTTTTATTTCACCTGGTGATCCTGTCGGTAATATATTTCTCATCCTAGGGTGACAATATTCATTTACTGTACTGCATCTATGAAGAAGCAGCATGGTCACCCTATAAGAGTATTAGGAATATAGGGCACCTCCTCCTCTCCATGATATAGGGGGAAGATATTCTGTAGTTCACAGTGGTGAACTAGGATGGGCTAACAACACTGAGATTTGCACAGGAAGTTACATGATCACTGAATTCCTGACAACAGGCATTTTTATGCACTTAAAGAACATATGTAACAAAATCCTTTCATTGGATAATCTATGAGACCAGGTGAATGTTTTTAAGGTCACAGTATTATGCTGCTTAGGACTTGAGACCTGGTATTTTTTGCATGACAGTTCCACAATAAAGGAAAAATAAAAAAAATGGAGATTACAGATAAACGTACACCTTGATCTTTATCATATCTGGCATTTGTAACATAAGTGACTGGTCTAGAGAAGTCCAGTTTTTTAGTGTGAGAGATCACTGTCCTGTGGAAGAAAAAGAGAGAGTGAGAGAAAGATTATAATTATACACAGGTTCTGAAAAGGAAACAAATTGTTGAAAATAAACCAATAAATTAAACAGCAATATGTAATTGTTCTCCCTGCTTTGACATCTACATAATAATCAGTTACTGTATATTGCAAAAGGAAGGTCAATGTATCAAAAAGGACTTCACCCAAAAAAAAAGCCAGACCCAGCCTCACCATCGGGTGACAACATTCCAATGGCAAGCATCTGCTTGGAGGCTCAAATATGGCTATTCTTTTGTGAGAAAGAAAGAAAGAACAAACAGGTTATGACACTAATCCGTGTGATTTATCTTCCTATACCATTATCTTGATTGAAAAAACAAGGCAATTGATAAAGTCAAGCTGCTTCTTTCACCTTCAAGAATAACATTTTTAAAAGTATAACTGTCCCCTTGCAGTGGGGTAGCAACTTTACTTACCTGACCCTTTGCTCTCACAGCAGGCAATACTCCCCTATGCTCCAGCAGTGGACTGTTTCTCAGCGCCCAATGCAAGGCTTTGGACCCTACATTTGACATCAGAGGACCTGCGACCAGCGAAATATAGCGGAGAACAGGTTGCTGTGAATGGCCTTGCAGTGCAGAGGAGCTTGCAGTTTTTCTTGTTTCCCAAGACCTATACAAGTATCTAATCCTTGCAGTTTGGGCGCAGTCCCATTGCAAGGGGAAACATTTTTCCCTGCAGTTCAGCTTTAAAAATCATTTGCAGTTTTGTGGAGAATGTTAAATGTTCCATAGGGATTCACGCAGAAAGGGGTTATTTCTACACTACTCTTGCACTTTGTTTTTTTATTAATAATTGCAGGAAGTTTAACCACTAGCCTACAGGGCACTTATACCCCCCTTCCTGTCCAGGCCAATTTTCAGCTTTCAAAGCTGTCATATTTTTAATGACAATTGCGCGGTCATGCAAAACTGTACCCATATGAAATTTTTTATCATTTTTTTGAGACAGAGCTTTGTTTTGGTGGTATTTAATCACATCTGGGTTTTTTATTGTTTCTTAAACCAAAAACCACTGAAAATTTAGAAAAAAAACGTTTTTTCTTAGTTTTTGTAATAAAATTTTGTAAATAAGTGATTTTTCTCCTTCACTGATGTGCGCTAATGAGGCTGCAGTGATGGGCACTGATATGCTGCACTGATGGACAATGATAGGCACTGGTAGGTGGCACTGATGGGCATAGACAAGCATCACTGATGGGCACTGAAAGGCAGTATTCATATATGGCACTGATAGGCGGCACTGATGCACACTGATAGGTGGCACTGCTAGGTGGCACTGACTGGCATTGATAGGGGGCACTGAAAGGCAGCTCAGATGGGCACTGATATGTGGCATTGATGTGCACTGGTAGGCACTGATATGTGGCATTGATGGGCACTGGCAGCTGGCATAGATGAGCACTGACAGCTGGCACTGATACCACTGACAGGTGGCACTGCTGGGGCTACACAGATCATCAGTGCCCTGATGATCAGTGCACACATCCCCTCTGAGGAATGCTGATTACCGACTCTGCTCTCCTCTCAGCGTGACAGCTCGTGAGGAGAGAAATGCTGATAACCGGCATTTCCCTATTTACATGCGATCAGCTGTGATTGGACACAGCTGATCACATGACTGAGCCGACATCTTTGGCTCTTTCTGTTGATCGGTGATCCGATGTGTCTGAGGGACACAGCGCATCGCTGATTGCCACGCTGCGCACTCATGGAGCCACGCATGAGCGGTTAGAATGGGACAATGTCATATGACGTCCTCCCAGAACGAGAGAACCACCCTGCGCCTGTCATTGCACTATATGGCGGGAAGTGGATAAGGTGGCATAAAGGATCATTTACAACAAACATTGTTGTACACTCTACATATAAAGAAAAAATAGGTAATTGATTCTCTAAACCAGCCTTTCTGAACCTTTTCAACACAGAGGAACCCCTTGAAAGAACTTTCTGGTCTCAGGGAACTGCTGTTAAAAATTACTATATCTACAACTCATGACACATTAGTGTGATGGTCAGTGGGAAGAATGCTCCTTACAGCTGTAGTCACTAGGAAGAAACACCTCATTACACATAGATAAAAAGATCAATGGTGTCATTGGGAACTTACCTGAGAGGCATTAATTGCTCAAGGAACCCCTAGCAACCTCTGGAGGAACCCTGGTTAAGAAACCCTGCTCTAAAGCGTACTACGCACAAAGGACTTATTCCACTATTTACATTAGAAAATAAACTATTCTCTATAGGGATAAATAAAGATGACATAGTAATTAGATCCCTATAGACAACTTACTCCAAAATGGAGAATTTCCTATGCTCAAAAGCATTCTTATCATTTCTCTTACATTGTAGTACACTTCCCCTTCTGAAAAAAAATTACATGATATTCATGGGATTTGTGTATGTCTGGCACAAAATATAGACGTATTAAGGGAGGGCTCAAATCATTAAGGGGGAGGTGCATCGTAGCATACCTTCCCTTTTGCACTTTTTCTTTTTCGTACACCTATTTTGGCAACGATACACCACATACTACTTTCAGTTTTCACATCCAACTTTTTGGTTTAGCTTGTGCTTGGTGACAGCAGCCGCCCACCGGCATATTATTTATCCCTTCCACTGCGTGGAATCATTTCACATAACAATTTCTATTACATTATCACAGCCAGGTGCAGAATGTGGTAAAATGATCTCTACAGTTCTAGAGAAAGTGTATTTAGGAATGTTTTGGAATGTGATAAATGTAGTGCATCACCATTATTGAGGATCATGTTCAGAGGCATCACATCTCACTTTACTGCTTGCTACAATGTGGGGAAAGAGAAGTCTACAAGGCAAGAGATCTAGATGGCTTTTGTAAAAGAGACTATTTACTGAGGTTTATACTTTGGTATCACTTTGAGATGCTCTACAGAAAGACCGTGTTCTAGGTAAAAATGAACAGGGCAATATAATGGAAAATGATCATGAGAGGAATACGTAAGTTCCACTGCTGACCTAAAGAAAACGTTAGTTGTGGTACTTAAAGGAGATGTATGGTCACAACATATACTTTCATTTTATAACCTAAGCACTGTGATAGCAATAGAAAAAAGTTTTTTTTCTGACAATCCAATATAAGCTTACTTGAAAAATCTTGTTACATGTTGTGAGTTCTGCCTGGCCATCTCTCCTCTGCTCATACCTTTGATTCATTTTGATTTTTTTAAGAAGTACATATCCCATTGCTGCCAGCAAGCAGTGATTCCTGTACTGAATCTACCTCCTGAAACTCAGTTTGTGACACAGCAGTGCGTATTCACAAAGCACAGTGAATATGGGTCACTGAATTCCAGAAAGTAAAACCTTAAACTGCATACTTTTTTCCAGTTTGTTGATTCAAAGTACCAAAGTGGACCAACATGATTGCCAGGCAACTGGCATTCCAGGAGTTCAGCATTGACAGCCTACATATTTATTTCATGACAGGTTACACAATGTACTTTTTTTAATTAGGATTATTGTGATGAAACTAGGCACAGTGCTGTTTTTGAGATATTAAATTGTATCTGTGGTCAAAATATAAAATCATATATTAATTTTCACATTGTATTTTGTTTCTAGCTTACGCCTATTAATCTGAATGATCTTGAAGTTTGTAAACTTACTTTGTGAAGATCCCCACAGACTTACTTCCTTGAATTCTGTGCCCTGTATTCACCATTTCCTGTGAGTAGGCACTGCTGTGTCACACATTTTACAGAGCCTGCCTTCTAAACTACAGAGGTGCTGGAAGGAGGAGTTTCCGGAGGCAGTATAGGGGCAGCAATGTGCCTTGGGATATGTAGTCTCTGGAGCTTGAATGTAAACAGCAGAGGAGAAGCTGAAAAACATGCAGGGAATCCAGGAAGTTGTGAAAAGAGATGGCCAGGAGACAGGCAGAACTCAAAATGTGAAAGGAGATTTTTCAAGTTAGCTTATTTTGGATTGTCAAATAAAACTATTGTTTGTTTTGGTATTCATTATTGATGTTCTAAAATTAAAGTGTATGCTAGGACCATAGAATTCCTTTAACATTGCAAAACATATGGCATATTCAACATATCAATTTTATACAACATTCTAAATATAGTAAATAAAAAATTCCCTCTTACTTAAAATAATACCCTGCTTCCCGGAGCTCTGAAGATGGTTCATTGGCAACTGACCACATAACCACAGATGGATGGTTTTTATCCCTGCGCACCAGCTCCTCCATGACAGTTAAATGATGTTCCAGAGACTGGTTACCAAAGCTTGCACTGACAAGACAAAGGACAGACACTATATAACAGGATCAGGTTCATGTACAAAGAATGTAGAGCAAGAAAACTAAGAAGTGAATAAACACTGTGCCCTAATCAGAGTCTGAAATATGAACTGTCTCTGCTGTCCCAAAGCAACTCTTCAGATTCAGTCTGTAAACTTACATTTGAAGAATTAAGAATTTTTAAATGTAATTGTGCAATATAAAAGTGTCTTCTAATCAGGGACTGATAAATCAACATCTCCATATGCACAGGAGAGACAACCTCTCAGATATCAAGAAAAAGAGGCACCTAAATCCTCTATTTCATTATGTTCATGGCGATATTAATACATGCATTTAAACTAGGTTAGAATGTAAGGAATTGTACAACTCTAGTATACCTGTGTGGTAAAACAAGAAACTCTTCCTAGTACTAAGTCTCAGTATTGGGCAATGTATTTTAAATGGCAGGTGCAGATTCTGATTACTCCATTGTTCAGGGCTTATTGCTCATGGACTGAGTATGCTATATTTTACACAGCAAAGTACTGAATGCAACAATTCTATTACATATTTACAGATAAATAAAAAAAATGGCAATGGCATTATTAGTTAGCATTTCTTACGCATATCTTATGCCCACTCCTGGACTTTCATCGATGACCACTATGCCATACTTATCGCAAAGGTCCATAATTTCTTCTGCATAAGGGTAATGACTAGTGCGGAATGAGTTTGCACCAAGCCACTTCAGCAGGTTAAAGTCCTTGAGAACTGTAGGCCAGTCCAGTCCTTTGCCCCTGATCTGTTTAAATAATAAAAGCAGCAATAGTATTAGTATGTCCAAGTCTACAGGTTAAAGCTGAACTCCAGCTTTCACTTCAGTCTTGCACACTTGTACAAGCCTCTCTCCTATACTGAAATTGCTTAGTCTGATCTCACTGCACATTTGAGCTTCTCATAGTGTGCATTAGAAGTTATTTCAAGTCAGATAGAGACCACCTCATTTCCTAACTGGCATCAATCATCATCTAGTTCTTTGTACTCCAGCCTGATGTCTATGGACTGCCTTTCATTAATTGTATTTCAGTTCTTTCAAATATGGAGGCTCACGGTCATATATGGGTGCTACCTAGGGCTATCTGCATGTCGATGCAGTCTGCCAACCACTTCAAGGTATTGCAAGGTACGTAATGAAAAAACAAAGGTTTTACCTAAAATTGTGATTGTATATGTAACAAACATAGTAAAAACCCAATTTGCTGTGGATTAACCACCTCCCATCCAGCCGTTGTATATAAATGGCCGGACGATGGCAGTGTAGGGTTGGGTGGCCATTTATAAACAGCCCCCCCGCCCCCTCCTTGTGCGCGCTTCCTGGGAGCGATCCAGTGCCCGCTGTGTCCTCCAGACACAATGGAACACTGATCGTCGCACGGGACCTCTGTGCGAGGTCCCAATAATGTGATTACTGATTGGCCAATCAGTGATCACATGCAGAGTAGTAAGCAAGATGTCACTTCTGACATCATTGCTTACTATGTGTGAAATCTGTGAATGATTACAGAGGTCACGTGGTACAAGGCTTTTCACAACAGCCTTGTACCATGTGACAAGCTGTAACCAATCACAGCTCACACAGTAGTTCTCAATAGCTGCAAGAATACAGCCCGAGAGGAGAAATTATTGTTTTTCCAGCCTTTATGGGTGTAAAAGCAATCAGTGTGAAATAAAAAAATCTTCATCACCCCCCACAAGTAGTACAGTGTCACCATGGTGACACTGTACTGCTAGGGTGACAGTATGTAAAAAAAAAAAAACAAATAATATATAAAAAAATAAAAAAGATAACGGAATACATTTTGGCCAAGATTTATGATGAAATATAAATTGAAAAATTGAGCTCTATAAACAGACCCCTTTGTATGCACATACTAAAACACTAATTTTGGAGCATTTTACTCATCACATGTATTGCAGTCTCCCACTTACATCACAATCTTCATGTTTGTTAACTCCATGGAAGTAGAAAGGCTTTCCATTAATGAGGAACTGCTGTCCTGATATCTGAACAGTTCTTATCCCAACATGTAAGGTATAGAAATCTTCACTTTGACCACTACCTGTATCTGCCGTCACCTTCACCTGAAAGTAACCAGAATTTGTAGAAGTTTACTATCTGCATGACTTGCTAGTAAGTCAACATAAAGCTGAACTCTTACTAAAGGTTTTATGATAAATAGCCAAGTCATAATAAAAATAAGAAAAGCAGTTTTTGCAGCAACGGCCAACGAGCATTATTCCATTTACTTCCTTTGGACACAGGTTAACATGGACCCACCCCCTAGGATGACGTCCCGCGGTCTGGGTTAAGGGTATCACTGCATTATGTAAAGCGCTGTGCAAACTGTAGGCGCTATATAAATCCTGTATAATAATAATAAAAAGGTACTCCTAAATCAATACATCATCCCTTTAGTGCAACAGTAAGGACTGCCCCCCTAGGATGATGTCAAGCAATCTGAGTTAATGGTATTACTGCATAGAAAGGTACTCCTAAATCACTTCATCAGCCTTTTAGTGCAACAGTAAGGACCTCCCCCTGTAGTTCTTACTGCGCATTACAATATGTAAATACTAGTCAATCTGGATAGAGGTGTACTTTAAGTCAAATCAGGTATGCATGAGTATTGGTAAATCTAAAGGAGAAAATATACAATGCGATTGTAATGTGTGTGAGCAGCTTGAAGAAACTACTTATCCGGACCAAGTAGTCCTCTTATTCACGTGTGATGAAACAAGGTCATACCTAAGCAAGCATATAAAGACACACTTCTACAATGCCAGCAGTAATGTTTTGGCTTACCTCCAAAGAATATAAATATCCAGGGTGTGCAGTCATCAGATAAGGCCACCAAAGACTTGCATTGGTTACTTTTAATTGTCCCAAAGAACCTAACCCTGTGGCTACCTCTTGTCCTTCCCGGTTACGCAATGTAACAGCCACAGAATAGTATTCTGATCCAGTGACTATAACTTGATAGTTCACCAGTCCTAGATAAAACCAAAAATTACATTACAGAATAGTGGCATACAGGTCGTCATCTCAGTGTCATACAGTATGCATAGCATTAATAAAACAATCCAACAATTGTATGTATTGTACAGTGTACATATCTATACCTAATTAATCCTAATTCATTATAGTGTAGATAGTGCTTCTAATGAATACAGATGAATGGCAATAGCTTTTTATTTGAACACCATTTCAAAGAAGAAAAAACAGTAACGTAACACCATGGAGTGCAATAAAAAGAAATCAACATGACCATTTGCTATGCGTGTCTGTCTATGTTCGACTTATGTATTCTGCCTGTATTATTATTTCACTCATAAATAAAGGTTAATTAGAAAGTATCAACGCTCAAGCTGTGTTAATTATTACATCACTCAGTGCTTCTAGGGTATCCTGTGACTCCACCCATTTGAACCAAATTTAAAAAAAAAATTTTTGGAAATTTTCTAGCTATACAAGTCAGTTTGTACATTAGTATGACATTATAAATATTTTTTTCCAGTTGTTTAGGCATAAAAAAAAAAAGCAATCTAAGATGCCAGTAACCACCGATGTTTTTTTGGGGGGGGGGGGGGTTAAATTTCACTGCCAGTGACTACCAATTTGGGGGGTAAACACAAGTGCTGGGAGTTAATATTGCATTACAGACACCAATGCTGGAAGTTACCATTACCTCCACGGACACCGAGAGAGAGAGAAAATTGTGAAAGCCGCTCAGGTAATGGGTTTGGGGTGGGGCACATTATACTTTCACTGCCTTGGCCAGCAATGGAGGGGATTATTGGAAGTCAACTTTCCACTTACATCAGTGTTAGGGGTTATTATTGCACTCACTGACACCAATTCTAGGGTTTTTGTACTCCAACATCTTCAGCGTGCATTGCAATATGCTGCAAAAAATGCAATAGGACAAACATTTTTGGGTGCTGCGGTGCAAAAAAAATGCACTGCTATGGTGTGACCCTCTGAAAGTGTTGGAGGGCCGTGTTGGTGGTGTTAATCCATACAATGAAGAAACAATAGAGCACCAATTAGAGAATGAGCATTTGTTGTATCAAGAAAACCTTAGTGAACTAATAATAAAATAATATAGACTGCTCAAAAAAATAAAGGAACACTTTGAAAACACATCAGTTCTCAATGGGGAAAAATATCATGCTGGATATCTATACTGCTATGGACTGAGTAATGTGTTAGGAACGTAAGGATGCCCCATTGTTTGATGGAAATGAAAATGATCACCCTACAGAGGACTGAATTCAAAGACACCCTGAAAATCAAAGTGAAAAGATGGTGTAGCAGGCTAGTACATTTTGCTGAAATTTCATTGCAGCAACTCAAAATGGTACTCAGTAGTTTGTATGGCCCCATGTGCTTGTATGCATGCTTGACAACGTTGGGGCATGCTCCTAATGAGATGACGGATGGTGTCCTGAGGTATTTCCTCCCAAATCTGGACCAGGGCATCACTGAGCTCCTGGACAGTCTGAGGTGCAACCTGGCGGTGTCAGATGGACTGAAACATGATATCCCAGAGGTGTTCTATCGGATTTAGGTCAGGCAAGCGTGGGGACCATTCAATGGTATCAATTCCTTCATCCTCCAGGAACTGCCTACATACTCTCGCCACATGAGGCCGGGCATTGTTGTGCACTGGGAGGAACCCAGGACCCACTACACCAGCGTAAGGTCCGACAATGGGTCCAAGAAATTCATCCCGATACCTAATGGCAGCCAGGGTACCATTGTCTAGCCTGTAGAGGTCTGTGCGTCTCTCCATAGATATGCCTTCCCAGACCATCACTGACTCACCACCAAAACAGTCATGCTGAACGCTGTTACAGGCAGCACAACGTTCTCCATGGCTCGGGAGACGACCCTTTCACGTCTGTCACGTCACATATGCCATTTGAGCTCTATGGTGCCAGGCAGTGAGTACAGGACCCACTAGAGGATGTCGGGCCCTCAGGCCACCCTCATGAAGTCTGTTTCTGATTGTTTGCTCAGAGACATTCACACCAGTGGCCTGCTGGAGGTAATTTTGTAGGGCTCTGATAGTGCTCATCCTGTTCTTCCTTGCAAAAAGGAGCAGATACCGGTCCTACTGATGGGTTAAGGACCTTCTGCGGCCCTGTCCAGCTCTCCTAGAGTAACTGCCTGTTTCCCGGAATCTCCTCCATGCTCTTGAGACTGTGCTGGGAGACAAAGCAAACCTTCTGGCAATGGCACGTATTGATGTGCCATCTTGGAGAAGCTGGACTGCCTCTGCAACCTCTGTAGGGTCCAGGTAGTGCCTCATGCTACCAGTAGTGACACTGACGCTAGCCAAATGCAAAACTAGTGAAAAACAGTCAGAAAAGATGAGTAGGGAAAACAATGTCAGTGGCCTCCACCTGTAAAACCATTCCTTTTTTTGAGGGTCATCTCATTGTTGCCCATCTAGTGCATCTGTTAATTTTATTGACACCAAACTAGCTGAAACTGATTAACAACCCCCTCTGCTACTTAACTGACCAGATCATTATCCCAGGAGTCGATTGACTTGATGCTATACTTTGATTAAAATGTGTTCCTTTAATTTTTTTGAGCACCATATAAAGAGTGGTGTTCATAGGCAAGATATACAGACATCCATGGTTTTCTTTATTCCAGCAAGGGCTGGGGGGGGGGGCCGGTAATAATAAACTGGCATCAAAGTGTATGATAGTAGATAAGAGGTATATCAAGGCTTCGGTGAGGTAGAAAGACGGGTTGAAGACTGATGAAAGCAGAAGAATAGTAGAGTTTAGAGGGGTAGTAGTAAGTAGAGGAGAAGTAGAGGGGAAATAGGAGGAGAGGAGATCCTCCAGAGAAGGTGGGGAAGGGGAGGGGATAGGGTTATCCCCTAGGGAAGTCCAGGTCTTCTTAGGGGTGCTGTTGTTATTGCACCATGTGTTTGCATTTTGGTACTTATGGGAGTAGTAGCGTATTTTCAAAGTTGGAGGGTAAATAGTGGTTCACCCAAGGGCTCCGTAGTGCTTCAAATGTGGATATTCTATCTTGTAGTGTGGCCTCTATTTTGGCATGGACCAAGGTTTGTGTGACCCCATTTCAGGCTGCTAATATGCTGAGAACAGGGGTTTTCCAGGCCCTTGCTATAGACTGTTTGGCTGCTGTGGTTATTTGGAGAAATAGCTTAAATGGTCGGTGGGTAATGGCCAGTGGTTTCACATTTAGGAGTGCTGCGGCAGGATCCGGTGGGATGGGAATGTCAAAAAGTTTAGCGAGAATGTGAAAAATGTCTGCCCAGAATACTTGTACCACTGCGCATTCCCGTCATATACAGTGGGGATCGAAAGTTTGGGCACCCCAGCTATAAATTTGTATTAATGTGCATAAAAAAGCCAAGGAAAGATGGAAAAATATCCAAAAGGCATCAAATTACAGATTAGACATTCTTATAATATGTCAACAAAAGTTAGATTTTATTTCCATCATTTACACTTTCAAAATAACAGAAAACAAAAAAATGGCGTCTGCAAACGTTTGGGCACCCTGCAGAATTTATAGCATGCACTGCCCCCTTTGCCAAGCTGAGACCTGCCAGTGTCATGGATTGTTCTCAATCATCGTCTGGGAAGACCAGGTGATGTCAAGCTCAAAGGTTTTAAATGCCCAGACTCATCTGACCTTGCCCCAACAATCAGCACCATGGGTTCTTCTAAGCAGTTGTCTAGAAAACTGAAACTGAAAATAGTTGACGCTCACAAAGCTGGAGAAGGCTATAAGAAGATAGCAAAGCGTTTTCAGATGTCAATATCCTCTGTTCGGAATGTAATTAAGAAATGGCAGTCATCTGGAACAGTGGAAGTTAAAGCAAGATCTGGAAGACCAAGAAAAATATCAGACACAACAGCTCGCAGGATTGTGAGAAAAACAATTCAAAACCCAC